GTGAAACTCATTAATTCCTCTTCTAATCCCATTGTTCATTCCATCTCTTTCTCCCAGAGCTCTGAACACGTCTGACATAGATTCTATGGGGATTAAGATGCTACCAGGCTACAAAGACCCTTATCATGGCCGACCTCTCACTAAGGGTGAACTGGGTTGTTTCCTCTCTCATTACAACATCTGGAAGGAGGTGAGTCACCCGAACAGGCGCCGGGGCCTCTGGGACCTCCTGCACAGGGCAGATAATGTAAACGCTTCAACCGTAGCTATGCGAGTAGTTTTTTTTTTTTTACCGCAGCCTGCTGTTTACGTGTCTGCTTCTTCACAAGGAAAACATTTTCACAGAACAGGGGTTTTTCTCCTCCATGATTCCCACCTTAATTGGACAGAACAGTGGAGAGATTTGGTAAAATCATGAGCTATTATTAATCCATCGATTTAAAAAGCTATTTTAGTTTGATTTCAGTGTCTTTACTGTTTTTCCTTTTCTGAAATAGCACAGTTGCTTCACGACAAGCGGGTTCGAGCAGCAGATGACAAATGCGTGTGCCACCCAAATTTGCTTCCCCCCTTCCTGTTTTTGCTCCTTCCTTGAGCTTGATTCATGCACTGTTGCCTCTTTTTGCCTTACATAACAAGTATAATCCTCTGCCTTCAAATGTGTGCCCCGAGTCTTGTCATGAAATGACATCCTTAGCCCCCTTTTCCTCCATATTTTTCCCCTGTAGCACTCTGAGTAGTCCTCCTCTTCTCTGTGCCTTTCCATAGTGTTAACAGTCTCCAGCTACACAAATGGATATCAATGGTTCATTCTAAGAGTATCGGGCCTCAAAATCCACTAACTTAGCAAAGTGATCAGATACTAATCGTCTGATCCTCTGAGATTTTATAAATTTAACTGGTGTTGCTTGACATTCACGGGACCGTGCGAGGTGTCGGGCTGCGGCGGCCAGCTTCTTCTTCAGTGTCCTGAAACATCTGAGGGAGAACAGTCGGCGCAATCGATCTAAAAATGTGTCTCATCCTATTATGCAAATGCAAGTCAGCGCGCACACTTGGAAGAAAAAAGCACCAACAGGGCTGTCACTTGCCGTCTGTCCTACTTTCCACTTTTGGCTCAGCTTCTTTTTATTCTTAATGATTGTCAAGTTGAAGAGTTGCCATTTTTTTAAAGAGTTTTGGCTCAAAAAGGTGCACTTAAAATGTCAGCAATACCAGTAAGGAATTTATTGGACTAATTGGAGAACTTGAGTGCGTTTTAGATTAAGAGGCTGCTCTCCAGTGTCTCTTCCCCACTTTGCTGATAATAATCCTTATTTGTGTGTGTGTGTGTGTGTGTGTGTGTGTTTGTGTTTAGATAGTAGAGCGTGGACTGCAAACTTCCCTGGTCCTGGAGGACGACCTCCGCTTCGAAGTGTTCTTCAAACGCCGTCTGCAGGCTCTGCTGCAGGAGGTGACGACACACAAAGTGGACTGGGATCTCATGTGAGTGGAGCTCCGATGAACAGAGGGAAAAAAAACAACACAGTTTTGTAAGCAAAGAGGATTATCATCATCCCCGGCCGTGGCATCCATCCATCTGTCACATGTGACAATTCAGCTGCCACCAGTCGGAGGGCAAACATATTTGTCTCTGTGGAGAAAGTTGCATTCCACCATTCCAGCGTGGTTTAGATGGAGAAAAATGCTAACTGTTTAAAAAACGAGGGGCTAGCTTTTTCGACTATCATGGGGAAGGATCGTTGTGTTTCTGGAAACACATCTGTTCCGTGTTGAATTGTGCATGAGATACCTATGGCGTTTCGTTGCCCGTGGGTGTTTCTTAAACTCTACGTGGCAGTGCGTTATCAGTTGGGATGCTATATTGATGCCCATTTGGAAGAAATGATGGATTAATTATTAGCCGATTTAAAGATAGTCTGATTACAGCTATTATGATTGTGCTGGTGGCATCAGCATCAGATTCGGCCTCTCTCTTTACTCCTGAGATATTTATTCCCAGTTTTTTATTATTATTAAGGATTCTCTTTTTCCCTTTTAATTACTTTGGACCATAATTTAGTGAAGAAAATCTCTAAATGCTGTAGCTGCACCTTTTTCCAATGAGTCTGAACAGATGCCCGCTTTAACTTCCTGTTTCTGTTTCTGGTCTGAACACCCAAAATGTTTTTTTGCTTTAATATTTTGTAGCCAAAGATTGTAGCCAAAGAGAGCGCTCACATCTCTAACATCATTTAGCTTGTACAGTTAATGAAAATCAGCTGAATAATCTAAAGGTAGACAACGCTAAACGTTCATGTTATGCCCACATGACTCGGCTTCCTCTGAAACTGGAGCTTTACATGGTTGAATTGCGTCTCGTCTTGATTTTTTTAGTTACATCGGTCGAAAGCGGATGCAGGTGGACCACCCAGAGAAGTCCGTTCCAAATGTCCACAATGTGGTCGAGGCAGACTACTCCTACTGGACTCTGGGCTACATGTTGTCACTCCAAGGAGCCCAAAAGCTCCTGGCGGCTAAACCCCTAACGAAGATGCTTCCCGTGGATGAGTTCCTCCCCGTGATGTACAACAAACATCCGATGTGAGTGCAGCCCACCACGGCCCTCTTCTTAGTCTCTCTCTGTGTTCCCATTGGATGCTCTTCTTGATTTAATTGCATCCCCATTCCTGTCACTCCTCAGCTCCGAGTACATGAGCCACTTTGAGCGTCGGAACCTGCGCGCGTTTTCCGCCGAGCCCCTGCTGGTGTACCCGACCCACTACACCGGAGACCCCGGCTACATCAGCGACACCGAGACCTCGGTGGTGTGGGACAACGCCACGGTCAGAACCGACTGGGATCGAGCCAAGTCGAGGAAAACCCAGGAGCAGGAGGAGCTGAGCTTCGAGGCCCAGAACTCGGACGTCCTGCAGTCTGAACTGGAGAACTGGAGCGCACGGGACGAGCTGTGATGAAAAAAGCAAAAGGGACCAAGAGGAGCGGGCAGTAAAGGACTCTGGCATGGAGAAAAGGGAGACGGAACAAAGCCTTGACCGAAGGGGGCGGGGGAATATGACAGAAAGTGGGACAAAGTGTTGATGAGGAAAAAATGCTTTTCTTTTTGATCTTTCTCTGGAGAGATATTACATGTAGGGTTAACTCTTGAAGAGTCAGCTAACAGCTTTAGTTTAATTTATTGCATCCAACATGCATGCTTTGTCAGTCTGATACAGTAGGCTTTTCCAAATGTGCACCTATGTGTGTCTAAAGATATGAAAGCAGGCCAGATAACAGCCGCGAACATGAGTTTTCTTTCATAGAAAAGGCCTCCGTCAGCCTATAAGCTGTCCAGTTTCCCAGCCTTAACACTTTCCATTCTTATAGGTTAAAGCTGCAGTATGTTTGAAATATTCTAATGTTGTTTTATATATTCCTTTTTTTTAAGTGACCGAATTGCTCCTTTGGAATGTTTCTGCTTCGCTTTTTGGCTCCCCGGCTGTTTGTGCTCGCTCGCATGTCTGCCAAATGTGGTCAGTTCCACCGAAAAAACAATTAAATCCAAAACTACGACAGCAAAGACAAGGGCTTCACTTTGTGTGGTAGAATTAAGTCAATATGTATGCCGCATGCTTGTCAAATCACCTTCCAGCACTCTGACTAATCTTGTCGTCCCTTGTGAAGGGTCCTAAAAGCCTTGTGTTCTTTTAGACTCTATATCTTCTCTAATGTTGCTTCATGTAGTTTTTTTTTTAACAATACATTGAATTTTGTATTCATTTTTGCTTGATCGTGTCCTTTTTTTCTCGTGTTACCACAGCACAGAGGGCCAGACGAAGGATTGGTTTATTGTTTTTAGTGTTTCAGCTTTAGCGGCATGATAGTTTAAAAAAAGAGTAGAGTACGAAGTTCAGAAACTTTTAAAGGTTTTGTCTCTCCCCTCTTTCTTTGATTTATTTCTACCAAGGGACCATAAAGCCTTTCCCACTAAAAAAACATATTTGGCTGACCTTGTTCTCCTCTGAATCTGGCTCAGGCTAAAAATGGTGAAGCGCTAGCGAACAAGCAGCTTAAAGTACAAGGTTGCGCTCGCTAATTGGTGGTTCATTTCTGGACATCGCCGCTATGTTGAAATAATAAATTGTTCTTTTATCTCAGCACAAATGCGACTATCCCGCAATGCAGCTGAGACTTCTTTTAATCTTGGCTTGCTGGTGTTTTCCTGCCCTGTAATCACATAATGGTCAGTTTGGCCTTTGGCAGGCCACCGTTTTCCCAGGCTGTTTTCTTAATCGTCGTCCATTCATCGAGGACCAGTAAAGCACGGCCTTGCCACGATGGATGCTTCGCAACTTCATTATTTTTGATTGGGTGTTTTTATTGAATTACAGAGAAAGAAAATTAGAAGAAGGATTAACGTCTTTATCGAGCGTGTGTCTTCAAAACAAATGAGTTCGACGCAGTCACTAATGGCTCAAAACGGCATCGCCTCGCCATGAATGCTTTATTTCTCAGCTGAACCGTGGACCATTTCACCTCATGTAAAGATAAAAACTGTCAGTTCAGATTTACTATATGAAAGATACAGGCTCCCACGGTCGTAACTCAGAACCCCGGTGTTGCACACTGATGCTGGAGGGCTGTATTGCTCTACCTTTTTTCTTTAGTACACACCAAAGGCATTCTGTTCGATGCAAGTCAGGTGACTTTAGTTTTGACTTTTTTCTTCTTTAGAAACTTTGGTGTTTTTCCTTTTACTTCTTTGAAGGGAATATTCTTCCTCCGTCAAGATTCATCCTGTCAACGACTGCTTGGTGTGTCCTCCAGCATTCATGGTGATTTATAAATGTCATCTCCCCAACACCTTTTGCTCCCTTTCAGCCTCACGCTGTAGCAGATTCTGTGGGGCATGCAGTCTCTGCACTGCTTCTATAAGGTTCGGGGTGTAGTTCAATAATAAAGCAGGCCTTATCAGATTAAAAGCCCTTTTTTTGTTTTGTTTTTCCTCAGAAATATGAAAATAGGTTCTCTTTAAACACTGCTGTGTACTGTTAGAGCTCACAGTTACTGCTGTTCGTGTTGGATCCAGTCTCAGAAGCCATGGAGAAACAGGAAAGGAGTGTGTGAGGTGATGAGAAGAGGGTGGATTAAAAAAAGAAATCAGTGAGAAAATGTCTAGTGACAATGATCTGGTGATGTAAAAACCAAAGAGCCTGATTGTGGACCAGACTGTATTTTGTATTCATTTATCAGGCTTTTTTAGTTGTGTCCAGCTGTCCCCAGTGCCCTATAGCTGTGGCATTATGAACACCTTGCTAGTGTCGTGTGGGACTTAATCATGGTGCTAAAAGATCTGGAGACTTTGAGGCGACAGTGAGCGGGGGGGTCGCGTTCAAAGTGCTTTTAAACACTAAATGCCACGACTCAGTTAATAGTTGTCTCCAGATCTGAGCATCATTTAATATTATATGCTGACAGAGCAACAGGTGGACACAGGTACCCCCACGGAGAAGTTTTACCTCAAAATCCTCCAAAAAGCTTAGACAAATGTGCTCGCTTGTGCCAGTGTCCAAAGTGCGTTTGTGTGTGTGAGGCTTGTGTGTGTGAGCGTGAGTACAGTATGAGAGTGACTACACTCATGTGCGCTGACGTTTGTCTGTGTGACTCAGACTAATCCTATTAGATCTCTCGCCCTCCCACCTCTATATTTATCTCTCCACTCTCCGTGAGATTAGGCCGGGTATTCTCTGCATGTTCCTTCGGTGGGCGCTTTTCCAGTGAATGACCCCCCAAGTTTCACCAAAAGCTGGACTCAAAAACTGTAGACTTTCCTACTTCATTTCCTTGACATGCTCTTGTGACACTACTGACAAATGGCCCCGATATCAGAGATGAAGGATTCAGTGTTGTGCTATAGAGAGTAAATGAGCGATATCAAACTTTAGCTACCACCCTTGGGTGTGATGGAAAGTTGAAACAGACCATTGGCTTCACTTTATGCTTGATCTATCTTTTTATTGCAATTTCTGTCAGTCTTCTCTTTCCACCACTTCACCTACAGTGCACATTTGTCCTTGCTTTTCAATCCAATTTGTCCACTTTCTTCATCCTTCCTTTCCTCCCTCCCTTCTCTTCTTCAAGTAATAAGATTTCTGGAGCTGAGCTGGAGCTACAGGGGCTACAGTGCACACACGTGAGCACGCATGCAGAAGCAACCTCTACCCCTCAATTACAGCACTGCCACACCTCCAGCTATCTGTAATCTTCCTTAGTAGACCACGGAGTGCAAGGTGAACAAATTACAGAGAGGAGAGAAGAGGCAGTGAAAGGTGTCGCTGAAATAACAAACTTCACAGGATTTAAAAGGAAAAAAAGAAAAATAAATCCAATTAAGGCCACGATGGTTTGACAGAGAGGAGCAAAACTGTGGATATATATCTTTTGTGGGAGTCCAGGAGTTTCAAGGTGAGCTAAATTATCTGTGTAAAATCGGCTGCCAGAGCATGTGCAAAGACTGATGGGCTGTTATGTGAGCCGCTAACAAAACATGGCAGCATTTTCTGCCGTAATTGAGGCACGATCGAACGGCTTGAGAAAAAAAAAACGCACCAGACTACTGAGAAATAAATGATTTAAATAAGGTCTTAAAAGCGTTGACCTTTCACTAAATCCTCACTCTGCAGGTATTCTCAATTTAAAACATAGTTCTTGCCTGTCGGTCTTAGAGGTTTGAGTCCAGAGCTGTGGTTCTCAGGTGAATCTGGCACAGCTCAGTGCCAGTGAGCCAAATGCAATTTGTTAGGTTATCGCTGTCAATTCACAGCCCGCTGCGGCTGCTGGGACAGAAATACAGGCTGGGTGAGACAGATAAAGCCCATTTCTCGCCTCATAGGCCTGAGCTTTATTTTCATTTTTGATTTATTCCTTATGTGATTTTTTTTTTTTTTCAGTCAGCTCTTTGAAAACAGTATCTCATAAAGCTCATTTTCATCCGTGCTAACTACTTAAAGAGGAGCCGTTTTGATGTATTTCAATAGTGATTTTTTGTTTTCAAAAACCATAACCCAGCAGCCTGGAAGCTCCTTTTGTTCGGGCTACAATGAAGCAGCCAGTCACAGAGCAGCATTCTTTTAGGATGAGAAGAGATGCATTCACATTTGTGGATTTTTTTTTTTTTTACAAATGATCTTTTAATTGCTGAAGAAGAAGAACAATAGGAGACTTGAAACTTGCTTATAATTTATTCGAATTAATGAAGGCAGTCCAGCCTATGTAGCACAATTTCTGTGATTTTGCTTCTAGATACTGACTTCAAATGAACCACCTCAGACAATGTGCAGGTTTGCATGTGCTGTCAAATTAAATCAGAGCTTTGGCAACATTAAGCAGGCAGCAAAGCAGGCAACAGTGACTTGCCAACTCACAAAAACGTGCTATCATCTCATTGTGAACTAACTGTGTTTGTGTTTGCTGTGTTTTTTTAACCGAAAGCACACTTAGTGATGTCACAAGGCCCATCTAGGTATTTTTTCATCTCTTATTTGTTCAAAGTAATTTTTGTGAAATATGCCCATCTTATATTATTCTCTCTAATCTTTAAAACTTGAGGTTTCTGGGGTCTGTGACTATAAAATGCTGCAGAAGACCCCTGGGGAAAAAGATATAACTTTGTTTGATTGTAATAAACAAAGAATCTTGGGCAGAACCAAGTGTATCTGTCTGGAAGTTATTCTAGTAGAAATGTGTCACTATGAAACCAAATATTATAACACAAGTGATTGTGATCTCTTTTTTATCTTGTTTTAAAAAAGGCATGCTGATAAAAGTAAAAAACTTGAATTTCTCAGGTAACATAAATCCAACTTGAAGACCAATCAATTACAGGGAACTGGATGAAGGTTATTTCTTGTTTGATGAAATGATTATCTAACATTGTTTTGCTACCTTTGCTCCGCAGAGAGCTTTTTCCACTCCTCTCTTCCATCATGGTGGATTTGTTCCTGAACCACGTGCTGGTGGAGAACAACTCGGATCAGGATGAGCTCAACACGGAGCGCGAGATCATCGGGATTCTGGAAAACCGCATCCTGCTGCTGTTCTTTGCCTGTGCCGAGTGTGAAAAGTGCCAGAAGTTTGTACCTGTTCTCAATAATTTTTTCAAGAGACTGAAAGATCCAATTTACATCGAATATCCAAAACTGCTTGCACTCGTCTACATCAGGTCTCTATAGAAGCTTCTGCTCACATCTTCTTCTGAACTCACACAGTTCTTTAAACACAAGTACACTGTTTTGTCAGTTATGAGCTATCCGTCTTTCTCTTTCCAGCTTGGATCAATCGGAGCAGCAGCAGGAGAAATTCCTGAGGGAATTGCACAAAAAGATGTTATTTGTTGCCTTTGAGGACCCATATAGAAAGTATGGCACCACAAGGAATAAGTGTGTTTTTCAGTGTAAAAATAAACGTTTGACTTGTGAAAATGTGTTTTTATCACATCAGAAACACAGTAATTAAACCTGTATCAATGCTTCTAAAGCAGTTCTGTGTGTGTGTGTGTGTGTGTGTGTTTCAGGGAGCTGCAGGCCATGTTTAGGGTAAAGGACACACCGACAGTAGTGGTCCTGCGTCCCGACGGCTCCGTGCTCTCTCCAAACGCCGTCCGGGACATCTCTCGCCTCGGCACGCACTGTTTCCGCGACTGGCAGGAGTCGGCTGAGATTGTTGAGAGGACGTTCATGCTCAATGAGGAGTTTGATGACCTCGACATGCGCAGCGCGACCGACCCAGTGAGGAGGCTCAAGTACAAGAAAGAGGACGACAAAAGAAAAAAGAGCTGGTGGAAGTTATGGGAGAAAGGAAAATACAGAAATGAGGATGGAGAGGGGGGAGATGAACCATGGGATGGGAAGAAGAAGGAGGGTGATAAAGGAACATGGAGAAGACGATAATAAATATAGACATGAAGTACATATGATATTATTAATATTAACCTTATTATTTATACTATGTATATCATTATGAATTAATACATTATTTTAATATTCATATCATGATAGCCGTGATAACGGCAGGACTATCATTTAGATTTTTGTTTGGAAACAAATAAACTTTGTTTTGTTTTGTATATCTGTTTGTTTTTGTACGGAAAATATGCTTTTTACAGAAAAAGCAACATCCAAATTCTGATAAAAAAGACGTTACCCTTCTATAATCCTAAAGGTTTAATGAAATCAGGGCATAAGAAAAATATATGTTTGGCATTAACATGACGTGGGCATAAAAACCAAAGTATTCATGACTTGAAAATATCTTTCTACTGGAAAAAAACTTGGCTGTTACTGGGTCAGGTAACGTACAACATTACTGAAATGTTCTTCTCTGAAATGCTTGTAAAATAGAATGCCCAACAACCTCAACTGAATTCATTCATATAGTTCAGAGGAGTCAAAAAAGTACAAAAATGAGATTGAATGAGTTATTACTTTAAATATTTACTGCTAAAAGTGGGTCTGCAGAGGGTTGAATCATGCAGTTTTCAAATCTGGCAAGGATCGGATTTTTACTTTTTAAAAATTGTAAATGAACTAAGACATTAAACCTTTTTCGTCAATGGAAGATGTAATTTTCTTTCCCAAATTGCATGTGCGTCTCTGTTTCCCTGAAAGTCAGGCAAATCCAAACTATTTCAACGCTTTGCACACCCATTGCACTTTAGATTTTGACTTAAAAAGCAGAGAGAAAATGCATTATATTGTCTTTGTTCCACATAAACTTGTATTTGGGAGAGCAAAATGGGATATTGCGATAGTCTTCACTTTACTTCTCGCTCAGACAAGCAAGTTAAGCCCAGGCCAAATTGCAAATTTGATCATTTTCATCTGTGTCCGCATTGTAACACATGGGCAGGGGGGGGGGGGGGGCTTTCCCACCACAATATATGTCACAGTACGCCTTGTCCATAGTTAAAAGTGTAGCAGACGCACAAAAGAAGCTTAAAAACTCTAAAATCACTTCTCTTTCTTGTCTAAAAGATGAATATCCTGGATAAATTTGCCGGCCTTTTGGTATCACAGCATGCCTACATTTAGAGCAACGTTTGACGCTCTTGTTATGTGAGCGCTCACTTAAAAACTGCGTGACTGCTTTAGTTTCACTGCCTTTAATGGCCGCTCCCTTTAGAGTTAATCAAACTATCGCAATCCACAGTCCCAGAGGTTCGGCTCCTTCATTAGAAACCCAAGAATGAAAGTCTCAACAAAAAGAAAAAAAAACTGTTAAGTGCATAACTCAGCTTGTAGTTTCTCTTTTTCCCAGAAAGACGTGGAAGTCAGACACATGCACAAAGACGCCACACGGCCCGTGTACCTCTGTCACCTTGTCTCCACTCCCTCCCTCCCTGGCAAAGGAGGGTGGGGGGGTGGTGGAGTGCAGAGACTGAATAGAAGTGGGAGTGAGCAGCCACTGTCGCTGAGGTGAAGGAGACAGAGTCAATGAGTAACTGTGACACATTCTGACAGACCGGGAACCGATTCAAGTGAGATCAAGGAAGGGGCTGGGAAAAAAAAAAAAAAACTGATGTAGAAGTTGAAGGCTGTTCTCGTTTTGATGTCCTACCTCAAGCGGAGATAATACAGGTGAGCAACTGTGAGGATTATCTGATTTAACAGCAAGCAAGATTATACGATTAATATGTGTGTGAGTGGAAAGAGACAAAGGCATCCGAAGAAAAAGCCACCTCTGTGGAAAAGCATTTTTGTAAATGTTAAGCATTTGCGATGTTATGTTTGGTTGTGGTTGTTCTCTTACTTTATTAACTGTGGTATGCAGACGCGTAAAAATCTGAAGCTTGTTTATGTTTATTAATAACACAGCAGTTCATGTTTAGCTATTATTTCTGATGTCCACTTCTGCCACAAAAATGAAACAAACTCTTGAAAGTCCATCACACTGTTTCTGTGTAACAGCCCGTAAAGATTGCTCTGCTTTATGCAAGCTGCAATTTATTTGAATATATTCTTAATGTGCAAGCCAAGCCCCCTATCAAGCTTTGAAGATACGCAAACAAGAAGTATGTTTTTTGGCAGAATTTACCTTTGACGATTGGTCACATTTCACAATTAAAAATAACTAAGAATGTATAAATGCATGTTGGAATTAAGGTTGCTGATTTCCTGGTAAGTCTACTATTGAGTTGTGCAGCAGCCAATAAAAATTAGGCCTTTTTTCTTAAAGATTTGTAATCCATCTCCATCTTTGGCTTTTTGACTGTTTTAAACACACAGAAACCAAATGAATCTCTGCACAGTCGACATCATTTATAAAAGTTTTTTTAAACTCACAGCCAGGTTTTAGAGCTTTGAATGGTACAAAGACTGCATATGTTAAGGTGACCCATTACACACCAGTGAGCACGGCTCAAAGAATTGACTTGATTTTTATTCTTTGAGATTTCAGAGCTGCCTTCATTGCTGTCCATCACAGCATCCATTTGGATTGTTTGGACCTCTGGTTTGGAGTTGAGCATTCAACCATCATGGCTCGGTCTTAATCATGAACGTGACCGTATTAAAAAAACTTTTATCTCTCAGGTGGAATAAAGACTAAAGCAAAGTCAAATCTGGTAACACCAAGATGCACTTGGTAGAGACTTATGCAGCCTGAAGTCTTACACAGATTTAGGAGGCACATGTATGTTATAAATTTCTTCTTTTTCTCTGCATTATTTCATTTTCCCTTCCTCTGTACATTTTTCAGAAGCATTTCCTTTAATGGATTAATAATTTTTTGGTTTGTGTGATTTTATTTCATTGAGTTGTCTTTCTTTTAAGATGACTGTAGTAACAGAGAGCAAGGCCTGTGAAGTAACCACTGCCAGAGGACCCAGACACGTTGCATTATTTGAGAGTACATTGCCATCATTCCTCCAAATTTTTTCCATATCAGATCAAAAAGGAAATTCAATTCAGCATTGATTCAAACTTTGACTGTTGCATTTTCCCTGTAGCTTTTTAATACTCCGTGCTTAACACTTCGCCATGGCGGATCTTTTTGTTGACCGGGTCCTGGTGAAGAATAATAAAGACCAGGATGAACTGGACACGGAGCGTGAGATCGTCATGCGCCTGCAGAACCGAATCCTGATGCTTTTCTTTGCCTCTGCAAAATGTGAGACCTGCCAGCAGTTTGCTCCCACGCTCCATGAGTTCTTCAAACAGTTAACGGATGAATTCTATGTGGAGCGCTCCGCTCAGCTGGTTCTCCTGTACATCAGGTACACCATACACACACAAAGAAACACTCATTTGTTGTTCACTTGCACTGGAGAAGATTTACTACTAGTCTCATGGTCATATCATATCCACTCCTGAAAAAAATTGTGATTTTAATAAACAAAAATTAGGCAAAAGCTGTGCTTTTTTTGTTGTTTTGTTCTGTGTTTTTTTAAAGCTGTGCTTTTAACTGTGACTCACTAGAGTAATACACCATAAAAACAAAACAATAGGCCTGATTCACCAATATTTGTTAAGGGGACCACAAGCAAATTATTCATGTAACCATTTATAAAATACAGCAAAGAGGACCTGGAGAATACTCCACCGGGAATTTTTAAAAATTAGGATGTCTTTCAGCTTACGTCTAGTGTGTCAATACACACAAGATAAGGTCAGTCGGTCGTTTAGTCAGCCGGTCGACTTGCTCTCAATGGTAGTGTGTTCTTTCGATTTCGCTTTTGAAATTTGCATCTTAGTGCAGCAAATGGTCCGTAATGAGAGCACCACCACAGATTGCTCCGGGTCCGCATTAAAATCCCTAAGATGTCTTGCATCTTCTTTTTTTTCCCATAATCCCCACCTACTCTCAAAAATGTCTCTCTTTTAGTCACTAATCTGTTTTCAAGCACTTTAAGCTTAATACCTTGTTTAATTCAGGTCACGTAAAAGTGCTAATAATTATGCCCTGGGTGCAGTTTGTGTCTGGATGTTTTTATTTCGTTATAGGAATCACTTTGTAAGACAGTTGTCAAAATATCCTAAACATACATAGTGTAATCAGCCTACTTTGTTTTAGTAGGATATACTGAAAAAAATTTGGTATTCATGTAACTTCATGTTGGCATGAACTGTATATTAGCCACTTCATCTATGACGAGATCTTTCCTCAAATGGAGACTTGAGTGGTTCTTCTGTACGTTGATTGCAGCATATTCGTCATAAATCTCTGAACAGTTTGGTGTTTGTCCTGTTATTCCCCAGTTTGGATGAGTCAGAGGAACAACTGGAGAGCTTCCTGAAGGAGCTTCCAAAGAAGTCGCTGTTCCTGGCCTATGAGGACCCCTACAGGAGGTGTGTGGGACTAGCCAGTTAGTATTGCGTACGACCTGCCGGTGAATGATGACAATGTAAATATGCCTCGCAGCATAAATCCATTAGCGCTTTGCAAGTGTGTGCCAGCGTTCGTGTGTGTGTGTGTGTGTGTGCCCACAGGGAGCTGGAGGCCATGTTTAACGTGGAGGAGCTGCCCACAGTGGTGGTGCTGCGTCCCGACTGCTCCATCCTCATCCCCAATGCAGTGGAGGAGATAATCCGCCTGGGCCCCGACTGCTACCGCAACTGGCACGAAGCGGCTGAGCTCATCGACAGGAACTTCCTCATGAACGAGGACTTTGAGGAGAAGTCCATGCGCAGCTTCAGCGACCCCGTCCGAAGGCTGAAGTACAAGGTGGAGGACGAGAAGAAGAAAAACAAGAAGAAGAAGCGCAAGGGTTGGGGTGGAGGAGGTGATGGTGGAGGGGAGGCTGAAGCAGGAGCAGATGATAAGGATGGAGGAGGGTCACCATGGTGATGGAGACCAGGAGCACATGAACAAGACTGTGACGTGTACAAAAATGTGTTGTTTTTCCACTTTAGACCAGCAACACTCTTCTACCGCAGAAGCCAAACAATACATTCGTTTTGGTACATATCAGGAAATGTGTGAGTTTCCTAGAGGAAATGTTAATCTGATCTCTGATATTCAAAGGTAGTGGTAATCAAGGGGTTGCAGCGAAAAAAGCTCCAGCAGACAATACCAAGCCATGTGAAACACTATCTAAAGCACCACTGCATGCTGCTAACCAATGCTGACCTCAGCCTGGAATTGGCTTCATTTCTCGTCACTGACTGCTGCCAAGTTTACGGTCGAGAAAACGTTCGGTGTCGGCCAACTCCCGTCCTGATGGCTTGTTGTATTGCACTCAGGAGAAATACTCCAACCATGCCTCCACTCTCACCAGCACGGCCCTGTAGTAGTAATGCACTTCACACATGATAATGTGTTCCATCCAATCACAACCCGCCGTGCATATTCTGAGGTCGATGAATTATTCAACGCCATTAAAATAATTTTGTTAGTGACTGTTTTGTTTTTGAGTGTTTTGAAGTCTATCTGCACTTATAGACTGCACAAGCAGCAATCAGAGCTATTCAAAGGGAGTCGGGCGGAACGGGGGAAACTAGCTGTACTACATAATCAGTGATTTGCTTTGAATCTACTGAAGACTATGTTTAGCCTTTGCACACTTCCTCCCACATGTATACGGCGCTGAAGATGCTTTTATCCGCTCGCCCAGGATCACATTCGGCGTGGCCGTCTCTGAGGAATAGAAAAGATTTTCATCCGTCTTTCTCAGAGTGTCCTGGGCGTTAAATATATGCTGTCAGTTCCCCCTGAAGAGGAAGAAGAGGCTGTGGCAGCATGATGGTAATGACAGCAGCAGAGAGATGCATCTGCCAGACAGATGATGAAACCAGAGTATCATCAGGTGTCATTGAGGTATGACTGTTTGATTGGTATGATTTGATGTGCCTTAGGCAAGGCGGGGACACGGAGCTAATGGTATATTTCAAAGCTTAAACAGCATGGGCAGACTGACAAATGGGTCATGTGTTCTATCAAAGCAGCATGGAGCAAAGCTCACCTTGATTTTCATAGAAATGTTGCAAAGGGGGTTATGCTAGATGGCTGATCAGCAAACACAATGGGTCTCCTTTGGTAAATCCGCGGTATGACTGAAAAAACACTAAACCCAGGTGGTAGAGGAGACAGATGCCAAGATAAACGCCGGCCCCCGTTTTTATTCCGTATCCCTTTTGGCTTTTGCCTACACAGCAGCTTATTGTTGCTCACTCAGACAAACCTTGACAATATAGTCGAAGCCCACCCCCCCCCACACACACACACCCCCACACCCCCCTGCCTCTCTCTGTCTCTGCACACGCGCATCCATAAACACTTTCCACGTACGCACACAAAGCACAGACGCGTTGCGCAATCTCGAGTGCAGAACGCGCAACAAGCGGACGAGCGGATGGAGAGAGAGAGAGAGAGAGAGAGAGAGAGAGAGAGAGAGATGGAGAGAGAGTGAGAGTGAGAGGAGAGAAGGACGGATGCAAGGCGAGGCCAGTATAGCGGGAAACCTTATCTCTCCTGGTTATCCAGCTGTTGTCTTTGTTTGTTTCTTTTTTTTTTATTTTGCTGGGTCCAACCCCGTTTTAATATCGCGATTTGTGAGCGTTTTTAAAGGCTTGTGAATGAAAACATCCGTCCTGATGTGCCGCTGCGTCTCATCACGATTCGTCAAGGATACGCGAGGCGGCTGTTGTCACGTCGACGATATTTTCCATTAAAATGCCGAGGATGTACTTCACGACCGACACCGGGGAGCCAACGATGACAAGCGATAACCGGGCTTGGTAAATGTTAGACATCGACGGGGGGGGGACGCGTATCAGCGGCTGTTCGCGCAATCCTTTGCGCCTCGTTCTCGTTTTAGTGCATTTCGCTCCTTCCATCCATCCATCGGAACTATAAAGCCCGTATAGACCCGCATTATCTCCGAGCAATGAAACCCGTGGGAATTATGATACCAACGTGACGCACAGTCACACAAACACAGCGGGGAAGACATCGAGTCTCGACAGGACGGAGGGGAGGGTGTGAGGTCCAGCAGAGCGCAGAACCCTGCACAGTGTACGCGCCGATCACACAGGAGGAGGACGCCCAGTTGTTGTCGGACATATCGTGCAAATGACTGACATATAAACCCCAGCAGGTGAACCCCCTATCGACATTTCCCCCCAGGAGAATATTTGATTTTTTTTTTTTTTTTTTTTTTTCATGCATCAGACTGAGCGGGGCGGGAGACAGGGAGGAGAGTACAGTGGGTGAGGATGCGGGAGACGCAGTGAGCGCGGAGGAGGAGGAAGAGGGAAACCGGAGGATTGACGGTAAGATATGCATATAGGCTGAGGATGCACCCCGCCCCTCCGTCTCTTTTCTCTCGAAATTCGAATTGCACATAGTGCACATAAGGTGCGTGATGGACGCGGCCGAGTTGCACAACTCCATTGCTGCAGCTGCCAAGGGCCATTTGATCACCGGCACACGGGGACCTGATAGGCTCTCAGCCCGTGCTGCCATTAAAAACCTGGGTCAGTAGTAGTGAAGGGCTATACGCTTGAATCCTGTGAAATATTCATAGGCACGTGCAATTGGGGCCTCTTCCACCCTTCAGTGGGGTGCAGGCGAAAATGGTTAACGACTCAGGGTGTCCCAAGCTGGCACACCAATGGGGAACCATGAATTGCCTGAATGAATGGTCTCACACCTTAATTGCGCCGCCTTAGGTGCTGACTTGAGCAGGAGACACACACACAAATGGGGTTTAGATAATGATTCGCTTTGCTGATTCACCTCAGATGGAAGGAGAAAAAGACACCGATAGGAAGAGGTTGCAGACCGAGTAAGAGTCCATTATCAATATTTCAGAGAGGGAATGAGAGGACTGGGTCAGTGGAGGAGGCCACTGAGGGAGGTGGTGGTGACTGAATGAGAGAGATGCAGGGGGGAAAGTGGAGAAAAAAGGTAGAGATGGGCTAAGAGAAAGATAGCTCCACCACCAATCAGACTCTCATTACAGACCTAAAAACATAACCTTGGGACATTTGTGTCGAGTGATCTGTGAAGAGTTTTATCACATCTAAAGGGTAATTGCTTTTAAAGAAATTTGAAATATGGGACGTTTGCAGAATCTTTTAAGGCAAATTACCAATGGATGTATAAGTCTACATTGTGGATGTTGGATGAAAGAGAAAAATCCAAAATGAAGAGGTTTGTTTCCACACGGATGACTGAAGATGAAATAAAGCTAAGTGATTTGCTTAAACCACTGAGATGTTCATTCATGTGCACTTACAACATGGATAGATTTTCGGCCATTTGACTTGCAAAACGTGGCATATTTCTATTTTCTGCTCAGACCACCTCAAACAGGTTCCTATCATGTCCTTTTGAATCAGTCAGACACAATGAGTCAGTGTCCCTGTATGTGCTGGGAGCATTTTGTGCAGGCCTGTGCACGGTGTGCAGAGCTGTGGGCGGATATATCAGTGTAATATCAATCTCATGATGTGAGACTGGATATCAGCGGGGATTTCACTCATAATAAAGCCACGGGGCTCGAGCTAATAATTATTTTTTTAATATCTCTATAGGAACAACGTTTTTGCTGAAGCGAGGAATGGTTTGTCCATAAGGAATCAGTGGGTACAAATGGACATAGCATGCAAATTCTAGGATTTTCCACAACAGAATCCAATCAGATATGTCTCAAAATAACACTTATTGATGAGATATGGTACAAACATACGATTCTGAGTGTTTAGAAATCATTTAGTGACTGTCCCCTTAAAGGTGGAAGATTTGTTTTGTGTAAATGAGCCAACAGCTTATTCATCACCTGAAGTCCGGGGACTGCCACAGGAGCTTATCAGAGCCTCACAAAAATCCCTTTCACTTATTGCATTATATTACTGATTTTTGATAAGTAGAAATGTGCCGGAGTCTTTGGGATGCTGTGCTCCTTTTGTTAAATTCAATCAGAATAAATCTGTTACTTTTGATTAAAAGTAATTTTTAAACCTGCTCATGGTTTAAGCTGCTATTCAAGTAAAAGTGAACCATTTAAATATACATTTTAAAGCAAAATCTCCATACACTTGATACACCTACTTAATGTGTCCACAAGGCTTAAACCTAATAAGTTCATGGATGCCATAAAAATGAATGATTCTCCTTTAGGTGGTAACATTCACGATATGAATAAGAAAAAAATTCCATTCATCCATCCAAACGTTTTGTCTATCTGATCAGTCACAGGAGCAACTGGAACCTATTCCAGCTGTTGCTAAATTAAATAATTTGATATCCAACATTGAAATTCACTAATTTGATGCTAGTCATTTTGCACCTTCTCCTTCCACCGTCCAGTATTCCAGCTTAATACAGCTCTTAACCAGGTCTGCATCTGTCAAAACTGTTGCAAAATAAAAAAAATAACTACAAATATGCATGTTGATAATACACAAGCTTTAAAATTTTCCGAAATGTCAAATTTTGGGTGTTGTTGCATTCGTCAAATGCTTTTTTTGCGTGGACTACTGACTTCTTAAAATACACCTGGATCTGATGTCAATCTGGTGTCAAGAGCAAGGGCAGTGTAACACTCCCCTTGCTCTTGACACCAGATCCAATGGACCCAGGTTTTGTTTTTTTGTACTGTGAAGAAATTAAAGGTAACATTTTTTTTTTGTCATGGACTGTTTTTTTCTTGTATTTAAATATTCATGGCAGATAGAGGAGTTTTGTACACATTGGCATCGTGCCAGCTTAAAACTGTTTTAAGCCAAATGACAACACCTCTGTAAACATGCACGTGGCGTCATTGATTTGTGTATAATGCATACTTTGAATACAAATCCATGATTATTTGATTGTACAAATTTGATCTGGTATGCTCCGTACTGTACTGGGCTTGGGTAAAAGCACAGAAGGGATGATTTAGAAAAAAAAGAAACATACTACAAATCCTGCAGATTTTACGACACAGAATGAAAGAGTGCTTAGATTGCTTAAAGGCAGGATGTGCTTTTAGCCCAGAGGGTGTGTGCGGAGGGCAGGATTGGGATCCTGATAAATATGCGGGGAACCTTATCAATTATTAATCAGCCGTTTTGCAGTTTTAAGAGACTCAATTCTATTAGGGACAGAAAATCAAACACACTATCATGCAAAACTGTGTTGCAGACTATCTCTGTCTGCCACATATGGTACAGATACATACACGGGGAGTTACTTTGGACACCAAGAGGCTATTAGCCACTTAAGCTTTTATTTATCTGTACATTTGCAAGTGCTATAGACACGTGTTGAGCTGGACCTGTTAGCAGACACCTGTGTCATTGCGCATAAAGAAAATAACAAATCATTTTAAGAACTATGTGAATATAGACATGAGCAAATTACCACAACTATTTGAGATACATTAAGTCAGATAATCAAACCTCGCTCCCCGGAGTGCTGGACATGCGGTGCATGCTTAAATGCTCGAACTTGGCTCAGATTGTCGTCTGCATTTTCTGTCTGCTACAAGCAAATGATTGACAAAAGGCGACACTTTCATCCCCCAGAGTCACGCATCGACAAGACAAACATACGAGTGGCTTTGACTGCAGCATGCAGGCCTCAGCCCACTGAGAGATGGAGAGGTCAATTGTTTGACACAGGCTCACAGCCACATTGAGCGGAGGAGCTTTTTAATCCTTCAAAAAATCTTCCAAGTGTTGTTATTAAAAATAATATTTCAGTCCATAAAGCTTACGATTTCTGTGTGCTGTTGGGAGTCTAAGCTTTGCGAGTTTATCACCTCTTGATTGCTCTTATTCCCCCTCCCCTCCGTCGCACTCACGGACCCAAACACACACATTTAGGAACATTACACTACAAGTCTGTTTTGTCACCGCTTCATGGTGATCTACCCTTTGGCTCTGACAGCTCTGTGACCAAAAAAAGGGGGAGGTTACGCGATCTGTCTGTCTCATTCGCTGTTCGTTTTCTGCCCTTTAGTTTTCACATATTTACTAACTGGCTTCCCTTTCACCATGAGCCAATTACAATTACAAAGACAGCCTCTTCACATTTTTTAGGGCATATTTTTTTAAACAGCCGTTGACTCCTAGAATCATATCATTGTTCCCCCTGCGAGAGGCATGGGACACCCTGGACAGGTCACCGGTCCATCGCAGGATCTTGTTTACCGGACGAAACTAAATTTTTATCGCATCTAAAAATAACACTGTTAAGGGGTTACCCCTAGTTACAAACAAGTATGTTGAAAACAAGTATATCGCAGCAACTCCCAGATGAGTTATTCCCTTTGACTGCACGACTTTGAAGTTTCTGTTCGCTACAGGATAACAATTCCTGTAAACAATCCCTTTATTGTTATCCTAGAGTGGTTCTAAGCTGCTCGAAATGAAGAAATCATATGCTTTTTGTGGAAACGGCGGGATTATGAAAGACTGTGGTGGCAAATCTAGGTTCATTTTAGTCTGGATTACCTGTAGGAGTGTGGTTGTTCGCCTGATTGCGGCCCTGTGATGGACTTGTGATCTGACCAGGGTGTGCCCATCCTCTCTCTTCTATGACCAGACTAGGAATAACTAGACAATGGGTGGATGGAACCTACAATAAATTCAATATATATGATTGTATATACAATCATACTTGGTTAATCATAGTTTACAATACACAATACATATTTCTGCCTGTTAATTAAGAATCTTAAAGACAGAGGCAGACTGGAAATGCAACGTCACGTCTAGATATATGGAAAGCAATAAACATATTTTTTTACTTCAAAGGTGTATATTCCCAAGCCATTTCTCAGTTCACATTGTGTGGGACAGATTGTAGGTATGCACACTTCGTACCACGGCGCATGCATGTCTGTTTAATTCATTTCTCTCCAGGCCCTCTGCTCACACACTCTCACTAAGAGACTGCTGCTCCTCCAAGTAGGCCGCCCGGTGGCCCCGGGCTGGATTTTGGTTGCAGGCAGGGTGACTGGGTGTGTGGCTTTGTCAAGGGCCATCAGCGTCCTTGCTCTACTTACTGTGCAGCAACACTTACGGTCGTGTGCGTGTGTGTGAGATGGAGGGACTCGGGGTTGGGAGCGAAATGACTTGCTGCCATAAGGGTTTTTGATGAGCGCGCTTGTGTGTGTGCGTGTGTGTGCGCGCCAGGGTGTGTATGCAATAAAAAAATGGAAATCTTCTCATTCTATTAAGTCCTTTGTGTGCCGTGCTCAGTGTGTGTACGTGAGTGTGTGTCACGGCGGTCCTTGGGCTTTTTTATTGCAGCCGTGTTGGCTCAGTGTATTCAAAGAAGGCAGAGGTTTCTGTTCTCGTTCTTAGCCGTGTGCGCATAAGCCTGAGCCTTTGAATGCATGTTGGACATTTGTTGAGGAGTGACCTAAATCTGTCGGGGAACATTACCGAACAAGAAGATGGAGAGAAAAGCAAGTCCTAAATGAATATGCAAGCTCACACATTGGTTAATGTACACATGCATGCCCACTGACAGACATGTTCGAATGGCTGTCTTTATGAGGACAATTACTGACATCATCCTCTCAGTCTTGTTACTGTAACTGTCAAATGTCAGGCTTTAATATACCCTGGAAATGAACCAACTCTAATCTAAATCTCCAAAGCAGGGTTACCCTTCAAAAAATATTTTTTCAGAATGGACAAAAAAGAATGAAAGAATGATAAATTGCCCTTATTTTAAGTCCTGCCTTCAGAGCCAGTGTAACCATTTTAACAAATCAGGCACAATGAGGGTTTTTTTTTTCTTTTCTTAGAGTGTAAGATACAGTATAGACCATGAAAAATACCAAATGAAGAACAATATATAACAGTTAAAATAATGTTTGGAAGTGGATAATTTAGCTTATGCCTTTGCTTTTTTGATGTACTGTTAGATGTCTTTAGTTATCAGTGATGATTTTGTACCCTCAGAATGAAACAAAGGCCCACTTGTGCCTTGCTGCATTGACAAGCTACTCCTCAGACAAGTACCCTTTTGGGAGCTCAATTTAGACATTTACCTTAATTACCTGACACTTAAGTATCTTATTTTCAGGTTTATCTGGAGGTATTATATCTGTCTGTTCAATTAAACCTCTGAAATCACTCTCAGAAAAAACAGGCTTTCAGCCAAACTGCAAGTTTTATAACTGTAGCACCTCTTCTTGGAGTTTTATCTGAAGCTGTGTGGTGAAGTTGATTGCGTAATTGGTACATTTGGTTTAATCTTAGCGATGCACTGTTTTTTTGTGCAGCTTACATGACTAAAGAGCTGAGTTTAAATTCTGCGTTGAACGTTTAGTAAATATTTAACCACCATTCTTCACGCTACTGTCCCAGAAATATAGGTTTTAAAGTGCACACATTCAAAAACCTTTTTGGAGTTTGGTACTGAGAAACCTGTTCATGAGCTTAAAGATAATACTGCAACCGACTCAAAAGCTGTTATGAGCTGAGGACACAGCGCTGACATCCATTGCGTTCACTTAACCCTTAACCTTAGCTCAACCCTAATTCGACCCCAGTCGTTACCATTACCGGGACATGTGGAATGACATTCTACATCATTAGGATGGGGCTCTTAGTCCCCATAAGGAAATCAGGTCCTGACAAGGTCAGTGGTTAGACCAGAAAATGTAAATGAGTGACCAGTTACAAAAACACCACCACTTTAATGCTAACGCCACAGCAGGTAGCCGTTCGAAATGCTAAACGAGATAAATAAATGCACTGCGAGGCGTGTCGTGCTTCAGCCTCCATCCTGTGCTCTGTCTGAGGCCAAAAGTTCAGTGTATGTTAAGGAATCATATTACTCCTGTTCTCGTGAAGCTCATCCTCCTGCATATCCCGAATGTCCCCGCATAACATTTGATGTGCTCTCTGATCACCTCTGCCCTCAGTCAGCTGTTTACCTCATTATGGCTGCCTCCGGATGAGGTCATCTCTACGACATCATTTATTCAGGATTAATGAAAAGTGGCCTAAGCTGAGCCAAATTCTCTGCCTCCGTGCATGAGTGTGTGTGTTTGTGTGTGTGTGTGCGTGTATATGTCAGTGGAGGGATTAAGACTCTTTTATGGGTCAGTGGCGAGTATTGCTTCTGGCTAATTGCGAACTTAAAATATGAACTCTCACTCGTGCGCTTTAGCTGGCAAACACGCGCAGACACACCGACTTCATTCTCCTCCTCTGTCCTGCTCTCTGAGATTGATTGCACTGTGCTATCACCATGGCAACAGCAGATTGAGTGACTTTTCACAGAACCGATTGTTCAATTGTTATCTCTGTTTTGTGCTCTCCCTCTGTCTGTCTGTCTGTCTGTCTGTCGCTCCCCATTCCGATGTCCTCTTCCATCTCTGCCCTGCCGTCTTACACGGGCTCTTTCTTTGCCGCTGTTGCGTTACCGACAATCCTACGTGCACACAAAAACAAAAAACACACCGTTCTTTGCTCTCATGGCCGCCGTTCTCCTGCTTTCTCTACAGGCTCTGCTATCGCAGCTGGTGGTGTGACGTCCAAACTCTTCCTGCCCAGCATGGCTGTGTCACTGTGGTTCGTGAGAGCGTGCGTGCTCGCTCTGGCTTGTGTGGCCCCCTCCAGCCAAGGTAAGCGTTTGGGTTTGAGGGTGAAGATGTGGTGTCATTCTGATTCGCTTTGCCAGGCGTCATTCGGTGAAACGATTCCCCAAACTGACAAGCCACCGAATATGCCATTGTGATATGGACAATTCAAAGGACAAAGAAGAAAGGGGAAAAAAAAGGAACGCTGAATTATGCTAACAAAGATAACAACACACACAAAAAAAATTAGATCTGAATATACATCGAGTTTGCTGTGTGAGGCTGCCACAACCAAATAACAGATGAGCAGCCGTTCAGCACCAGGGACAGTTACATTACACCAGCCGCATGCTAATCGCACATGAACTCACACATATCCGTGTTGGATTTAAGTGTGGGTTCAATCTTGCCGTGTGTACATCATCGCTGAGCTGATGTGAGCAACTGGATTAAGGTAACGGTAATGGGATTTCCTCCAATAGCCACGTGTCCAACATATTCTAACGTAGCCCCTCGGTGGCAAGAAAATGAAATCCTAAACTTGCTAGATTGTTTTCACCGGTAACCTGACAGGCAGAGAGCAGATTCCACCCGAATGTCATGAAACACAAGAAAGCGTGATGTACCCACGCGCCACATCTCGTCTCAGCGTAGGGCTGCGGCGTGATTCATGACAGTGGTCTCACCCCTGCGTTTTTTCCAGCGGAAGGTTTCACACCTGCATTGCAATGTTGCTGCAGGATGTAGTGGCAGCTCAGGGTTTGTTTATGGCCTGTTAGGGTTGCTTCCAGCAAAAAAACGGGAGTGACTGACTCTCATGTTGAGAACAAAAGGTTTCCGTGACATTTGCTGTGGAATCGTTTGAAACTAAACTGAACTGTCTGTTTGATTCATCCCAAAAGGGAACTAAATCGCATGGATTTTGTTTTCTTAATGGTTTTAATTAAGATCAATAATTAAGTTCTTAATCAAATTTGTCGTCTTAGCTCTTTTCTCATTTCTCTTGGTTTTCCCAAAAAACAAAGGATCATATGGACAAATCGATGATTCAGTCTTGGATCAAATGACTGTGTTGTGGTTGTGGACGTTTTTGGCTCAGAAGCAGGGATGAAACCTGACCCTTAGGTGGACAAGACACTTTTCTTTTCCTTTGCTTTCCTGAAGCTGCAAGAAATAATCTTTTAAGCCACATGTACAAAAGCCCATGATGGCCCTGAAACTGACAGAAGCAAACTGTGGATCGTGAGCGATGTCATGGATTTAAGTTTTTAAGGCTTCTCACACTGAGCATTATTTAAGACCACTTCAAGGGCATTTTTCACACCTGTTCATTGAAACGGTATCATCCACATGTAACCTATCTTAGAAACTATTTAACTGTTTTTTTGCCAGTTAACAAAATAGCCAATGTAAACCTTTTGGAGACATTTCTCCCAAATAACACTGTATTTGTGTCCAAAATAGGACCAAAAATAAGAATTTTACAACAGAAAGTTTAATGCTTGCCATAGAATAAGTATGCAGAAAAACAAACTGCATGCTGTTAAGATAAAGCCTCCAGGATTTCTTAAAAAGGAGTGGTTGTATGTTTAAATATAAAAGAAAAACATTTAGTTCCTCACATTAATGTTTTTAAGTGCTCAGGAGTTCATTCTTGATTATACCAAATGCTTAGTATCAGTATCAATGAAATTGACAGTGTTTATCATAGGGCAAAGAGGTTGAAATAACTAAATATGTGAAGTAATCCTCAACAAGGAAAAGACATACTTGTTATACTTCTGTATTTTATTGTAATACTTATTTAGATATTTCAATCAAGACCGAAATACCATTTGAATTACTTCATTTTGAATAATTACAACCAAAAATGTATCCGGAACATTATCATTAAACATCCAGCTCTTTATGGGCTGCCTCCTATGGTCCAGCAAGAAAAAGTCCAACTATTTTTCAACTAAAGCAATGTTCTCCAGACTCTGTGGTCAACCACAGCCAGCAGGAGAGTTGAAAGCCATTTGCATTAGTCTGCTGGGTTATTCTTCAGGGCAATTATTTTGTTATATGGCACTACCACACTGAGGGTGATAGCACAATAAGCCAGGTATTCCTGCATTAGAAAAAAAAGTAGAATAAAACACGAATGCTCAAAATATATAATCTGTTGGTAAATAATCTCTTATTCCATTATTTTCTCTTCGTTTATCTCCTCCTCCTGGACCCTTCTGGACCTGTCCTGGCTAGCTATGTCCCGGGCTGCCATGCCGTTCGGCCTGCTGCGCCGGGAGCTGGCCTGTGAGGGTTACCCCATAGAGCTGCGCTGCCCGGGGAGTGACGTGGTGATGGTGGAGACCGCCAATTACGGACGCACCGACGACAAAATCTGCGACGCGGACCCCTTCCAGATGGAAAACACGCAGTGTTACCTCCCTGACGCCCTGAAGATTATGTCCCAGAGGTGTGTATCCCCCGACCTGCGCCCCTTTTGCTGACTCCGCGCATTATTGACGAAATCCGCAGATTACGGCTTCATTCACGAGCCGCATGGACAAATGTTAAGCGTTATGGACGTGGTTGAGGCGATCGATACGAGCATCTGTTTGAACACAGCGTGCCCCGCGGTAACATGCATGTTGAGGAGAACGAAACAGTACACAGAGCTGTACGTTTGAGCTGTGTGTCGTGTGTAGCTGCAAGCGCAGCAGTCTCTCCAGCTCAGTGTATAGAGGAGATGTGTGCTCAGCAGTGTCTTCCAAGAAGTGATCAATATTCAGAGAGAGGAAGAATAAATGGAGCATCATTTGCCTCATCTTTCCTGTCTGCTAATTACCGTTCTTCCTTCCTTTGTTTTCTCACTGCCTGGTCCCTTTGACTCACCCATCCATCCATCTGTCCATCCATCTGTCCATCCATCCATCCATCCATCCATCCATCCATCCATCCATCCATCC